TAACTTATCAAGGAATACTTTGTATAGAACACACTTTTTTATTTTTATTTTAACAAACTGTGTTTATCATTCTAGTTTCATCAGTTGGACAGTCACTGACCCCTGATTCCCTTTTCTTGAAGACATACTTGATTTCTTGTTCATTTTCTGGTTATATGGGATGTATTTTGATTTTTGCTAATTTCATGGTCATATTTACAGCTGCATTTTATTTTATTTAAATATATTTTATTTCCATTCAATTCCTCAATCTTAATTATTTGACATGTAAAACTTAGTCATATTTTACATATTTTATGCATAATTGAATCTACCCTACTCATATGTTCAATTCCACAATGATGAATTTGTATTTCAACTTGTAAAGTGAGGATTGGTAAAAACAGCTAATTTAGATCAGACATAGAATTGATTTGAGGTCAAAATGCAAATTTCATTTAAACTTTTCCTAATTTTTATTGGTATTCCCATGCCTATCTATATATTTGAAATTTAAATTAAACATGAGTAAAAAGTATGTTTAGGATGGATGGAAGTCGAGATTTCTTTTTTATTGAGTGGAAGTTAATATTTTAGAAAGAAAGGAAATGCGGAGCTGAATTTCGCCTCTAAATTTTTATCCTTTATGTAGGATTCATAATTTTTCCAATTTGAGGACACAGAGGAGAACAGAGAACTAAAATTGTATGAGGATAAATTTATCCCTAACATTTGCTAAAAATATTACGTGCCAGAACACATTTGATTATTAAGAATGTCTAGAAAAACAAAAATTGCCAAGCGCCTTGAGAGTTGGAAAGGGGACTCTTCACTTTTGGGGGCTGGGTTACTCGTATTCAGGCATGCCTTTCTAGTATCCCACTCTATTACTTGTCTCTATTCAGGATTCCAGGTAGGATAGCAGCTAGGGTTGAGGGATACATGAGAAAATTTCTTTGGTTGGGAATTGAGAGGAGTTTAAGGACCATTTAGTCAATTGAGAGATATGCTGCAAATCTAAAAATTTAGCAAGGTTGGGGATTGGAAATCTTAGATTAAACCTATCATTATTAGCTAAATGGCTTTGACAATTACCAAGGAATCAGACTCTGCAATGGGGTGATCAGAAGCATCCGTGGGAACGAGAAGGGTGTTTGGAAGGCCTTAGCTAGAGGGTATATCCCTCAATGCAGTCCCTAGAAAGCTATCACACAAGTCTACCCTCTTTTCATTCCCTGTACACGTGTTTAGGTTGGTGATGGATCTACTTTGAGAGTCTGGGAGGATGAATGGTTGGGTAATCAACCATTAGCCACACAATTTACCCCGATTATATAGACTTTCCTGTAGGCATGAAGCTCTAGTCTCACATTTTTTGAAAAACCTGGGACACAATTTCATGGACTCTCCATTTCTCCTGAAATCTCTTGGATAGGTAGACCTTGGGAATGTCAGCCTTATTGGATCTTTTGGCCTCTACCAGACCATCCTCACAACCTGATGTTAGACTTTGGAACTTAGAATCTTTTGGCTATTTTACACATACATCCTTTCTAGAATACCTCATCAAATCCTCATTAATCTCTCAACAAACCCTTTGTGGCCCACCTTGCCTGCTTTTACCAGTTAGATTCACATTGTCAAGGATTTCTAAAAGGTTTCTGTTCCTTTCAAGGTGAAGATCTTTATTTGGATACTATTCATCAAAAGCTAAATACAAATGACTTGCTCCAGGTTCGCTGTCGTCATTGTGCTCTTTCTCCTGTGTTTTAAAGGTGGTGAAACTCATGAACATTTTTCTTCATTGTGAGGTTTCTTGGAAACTGTGGACTGATGTTTTTAGGTTGTCTGGTTTGGTCTAGGTGTTTCCCTCTTCTGTGGAGAGCTTCCTCTCCACTCATTTAAATGGGCACGCACTGAGGAAGGATGCTAAACCCTTGTGGGAGGGAGTTGTCTTTGCTGGTCTATGGTGTATTTGACTAGCTTGTAACTCGGGAGTTATTAATAATAGGAGTACTCCATACTCCGAGTTGTGGGATAGGGTGATTTTTTTGACCTTCGTGTGGACTAAAGGGATATTATTATTCATAGCTATTAGCTTTTGTGTTGGCTGTTTCTGCTGCCTGCGGATTCTCCATTCTTGTTTCTCATTTTTTAGGGAGGATATCTCATTCTCCTACTTTGTATATTTTCTTTGTTTTAATAAATTCTTTTTTATCGAACAAAAAAGAATGTCTAGAAATAGGTATCAGGAATTGTTTTATTTCTATTGATGTCTATCTTCTTTCTTCTCATGATTGTATTCCTTTAGAGTGTCAGTTGTTATTCTCCAGTAGAGATCATCTTCAGTCAATTAATAGTTGTCTCATTTACATTAGTAGTTATTTTATTTTTAGTACTGATTGTCTGGTTTCCTCTGTCGATTATTATTCTATGAAATGACCAGGAATCAATTAGTTTAACAAGTGAATAATTTATTGAAGACATGTAAACTTTTCACATAAAATGAAGTATTGGTACCTCTAATTATTTAAAAAATACAGAGAAATATCCCTAATTAAACAAATAGGTTTGAATAATTTTGTCATAACCTTTGGTTTGCTCCATGTTGTTTTAGGGCAACCTTTGTAGGAATAGTATATGGTTGGGCAACGATTGTCTCTTCGAGCATCTTTGTTGCAATGGGTTCCCATGCATTGAACAATCTGCTTGGAGGTATATTGTGGCGATACACTTCCAAATCACTGAAATAACTCTGTATTGTTCGGGGTGTTCAAGGTTGGTCTAATTATACTCTTAAGCACTTTTATGTAATTTATATTGAATAAAATTAAGAGTAATCATACATGTGTTTTCTTTTAAAGTATCTATATATCATAGAATAAGTTATTATCTCTATAATTTGGTTTAGTTATAATTCAATTTCTATGGCTTTTTAACAGTTCAATATCCTAATGATCTTACCCCAATCACATTGGAAGTATGTAGTCTATTGGATATTTATCGTTTTTAAAACAACTTATGTTGAAAAGCTCTTGCCCAACGTTGTCACGAAGTATTTTATTGAAGTATTTATTAAAACAGATTATAGCAATTGCAGTATATTAAGATTTAATATGATTGGTTTGCTGTTAGCTTCCTATTACAAACAGTAACCTACTCAATATTTAAATCTTCATTTAAAAAAAAAAAGTCAGAATGAGCGACGATTGAATCTATTCTTTGTTTCTTTTTTTCCTTGAATCAGAATGGGAATTCATGTTCATTGGGGAGCTCTTTGCAGAAAATAAGCTTTCCTGTTAGGGATCTATGTTCACTTTTTGGTGATTCTGTTTGCCTGTAGTTCGTTTGTCTCTGAAGGTGACATTCAACTTTGGATAAACCCTTATCTGAATCATGTCTTAGTCATGTTCCTGGTTCTATTTACGATTCCTTTTCTTACTCCTACTTTAATGGGTATGATTCTTTGTTTAATCCCCTCTATTTTTCTGTATTGCTTTCATATTTATTTTCTCTTCTTTATTTTGTTCCTTACTTCTTATTCCTTACATCTTTTTGTGGACGTACTCACAGTATTTTTACTTTGTTTCTTGTATTTATGATAGATGCATGCCTATATGTTTAATCTTCCTTGATCTTTTCTTCTTTGCATGTTAGCTTAATGGTTTTCACTATTCGTCCTCTGTTTTTTCTTTTATTATAATTGTATATACATTTCCTTTCTTTCTTTATGCTATTATGTCCAACGCCAGACTATTTAATCCGCATATATATAGTTTTTTTTACCAATAAATATACATATGTATATATAGACACCTATAAGTATGGAGATATATATATATATATATATATGCATGCTCCGCTGGTTGTCATTTTACTGTTTTCTCTTCTATGCTGCTTCTTATATTTTGTTATGATTGGAGATATATATATATATATATATATGCATGCTCCGCTGGTTGTCATTTTACTGTTTTCTATTCTATGCTGCTTCTTATATTTTGTTATGTTTAGATCATTTTGCACTTACTAATTCTTTTTTCTTTCGCCTGGTTGTTTTTCTTCTCAGCTTCTTGTAGTCATAATCCACTTTCTCTATTTTATTTTGTTATCACCAAAGTTTTACGGAAGCATGTATCCATATATATAAATACATATGTATATGTATATGTATGTATATATGTAACAGTCTAAATTCTAATGTCACTCTCAGGGCGTTAGCACAATATTTTTAATTAGTGGAACACTTTTTAATTAGTGGAACACATAAATATTAAATATGCAGTGAAATTATACTTTAATAAATACATATTGTGATTGGATGATTATTTGTTTACAAATAATTTAGACATCTAAATTAATTTATAATATTAAAATAAAAATTAATAAAATTTTATTCGTAATTTTTTATTGATTTTGGACTTCTTCTGACCTGAATGAGGGGTGAATTAGAGTGAGTTTTACGAGTTCAGTAAGAAAAAAAATTCTATAACAGAGACTTATATACATACATAATAATTAAAATGCACAATAAAACAAATTATCACACAAAACATATTTTAATCCTCACTCTTCTGATTTAATTTTTATTTTAATTTCAAATCATGCTTATAGATTCACAGAGTCCTCAAACCAAAATAGATTTATTCAAACAACGCATATTACTTAACTTGGATTTATAAAAAAAATTTACATTATTTCTTTGTAATATTTCTATACTCGAATATTACACATCTATTTGGATATCATACATACAATTAAAATATCACATCTAAGGTTTTATCGTGTGATACCATTTATATCGTCATTAAGGAGAGTAAAAAAGGATTCTCCCATTGCATTGATAGGACACACAATCTTACATTGGTCACGACAGTTATATTTGTCAAGTAACCCACTCACAAATATCTATTCACGTCTGGATTAGGTTTTAAACACTATCCATGTGCGGATTCATCATACCCACTGAATTTCAGCCACGCACCCTCCCCTCCTTGATTTAGATTAAACGAGTGGGTGTCCAGGATCCTTATACTTCGCGTTTTTTCCAAATCTCTCTCATTTCCAATTCACTAATTCCTTACTTAAGATCTCATTTATGTGCATAATAAAATACAAATATACACACACACACACATACACACACTAAACACACGATATCATCACGCACATAAGAGTCGTACATTTCAAACTACTTTCTAAATCATCTTATATCAATTTACACAACAAACATAAGATGTTCAGATTTCTCGCGTAATTGTATCAGATTACACAGTAAGTACAGTACACCGTAGATCTGCACCAGATCATACAACAAATACAGTGTACCCAAATTTCATATGTACACACACTTGTTATACATTGTACATGTATAACATATACACACACATATTAATACACACATATATATATTACAATATAGACATGTACCCTCACTACATCTCTCACACAAAATATATATTTATATTTATACACTCTATCTCTACCGATATATACATACACGTTTATACTTAAACAGGTATACACAATCACACACAATTAATCATATATATATTTATTCACATATTTATTCTTATCAACTATGTTCTTATCAATTATGTTCTTATCAATTCATATCTTATCTATCGTATATTTATATATATATATATATACATATGTGTAATAATATAGATATATATACACTATATAAATACACACAAATATAAATTAGACATACTAATTATATTCATATTATATTATACATACATTTAAATATTCACACATAATGCACTATAAATATATACATTTACATAAATATATAATTTATGTATTCGTACAGAATACACATCATTCTTACCTACAGTGTGATCAAGAAAACTTTGAAAATTTTTTCTAACTCGGTCTACAGTCCTTTCAAAAATTTGAATACCGTTTGGATAATATTTTTCATTTATAATAAAAAACACATACTAAATTATGAATAATTTTTGAAACTATATTACTCGAAATAAGAAATGGATTTTACCTTTGGGACACGCAGTCTCGGTCGCCAACGTCTTCACGTGCCATTACATGTGTGTCACCGATAATGCCACACGCTGATGATGGAATCAGTGCGCGTTGCCATATGTACCAGCATCAGATTTGGTCGCCACACTTTCATTTTTTTCTTTTCTTTTTTTTTTTCATTTTTTTCTTTCATTTCTTCTTTCTTTTCTTTTTTTTTTCATTCTTTTTTTTTTCTTTTTTTCTTCCTTTTTCCTTTTTTCTTCTTCTTCCTCCTTTCCTGCAGCTTCTTTTCTCTTTTTTCTTCTTTTCCCTTTCTTCTTCTTCTTCTTCTTATTCTCTCTCTCTCTCCTCTTTCTTTCTCCTTCAGTCACGGTGTCGCGCAACACCACACAACTTATTCCTTTCAGTTGTCGATGCTGCTAGATCCTTTTTCTCCTCTCACAGTCGTGTCTCTTTCTCTTTGCTCTTTCCTCTCTTTCTCTCTCTACTCGATCATGATTTTTCTCTATCTTCTTCTCCTTCTTCTTCCAATTGTGCGTCACCGCATCCAACAACCCGTATAACCCTCTTCCTCTTTCTTTTTCTCTTGGTTGCGACATTGCGCAATGCGACGAGACCCACCTCCTCTCTACATCTCGGTTGTCATTCCCTCTCTCGGTTGTGACCTTCCTCTCTCACTCCTCCCTCTCTCTTCAAGTTGTTCGACCCTCTCCCTTTTCTACCTGTTTTTTCTTCTTTCTTTCTTTTTCTATTAATTAATTATATATATGCCTATATATAATATATAGCCATATGTTTTCTTCTTCTACCCTCAAAGTACACTATGGGTTCTTTTTTTCTTTATTTTTTTTGTTTAATTATATATATATATATATATATACACATATAAATATATATTCCAAATGTTTTATTTTTTTTCCTTTTTTCTTCTCCTAGAGGCGAGAGGCGTGCACCTCTAGGCTATCCTTCTTTTTTTTTTCTATTTTTTTAATTTATAATTAGTTGTATATATATATATATTTTGTACCCAAATGAGCACCAATTGAGTATTACAAATATCCTCCTCTTAAAACAATTTAGTCCTCCAAATTGTACGTTAAGGAATTGAAATCACTAATCTCCCTACTTGAAAAAATGTTTCTTGTTAGTAAGGAATTTTTCTCTCACTAACGTTAAGGAATTGAAATCACTAATCTCCCTACTTGAAAAAATGTTTCTTGTTAGTAAGGAATTTTTCTCTCACTAAGGAG